CGTAAACACAAGTCCCCTTTCGTTTATTATTATTATTATTATTATCATTAAGACTTTATTAAGGACACAGAACATCTGGCCCATAGGAAAGACTGAAATAAAAATTGCGGAGTTTATCAGTTAATGTAAAACAAAAAGGACAGAGATGGTAAAACATTAATAAATACTTTGTACATAAACATCGCAGCTGATGAAGACTCGCTTGTCTTCACTTTCTGACAACTTTGGGCCGATGGGTACAGATTAACCTACACACTCATCCACCTCCACGTCGCTGCTGCAGCTTGTCCTGCTGTGAGTCTCACTCATTCTTCTGTCTCATTCTGTGTACCTGGCCTGTTAAGAGAATTGGGGGGGTATTTTCATGTGGCTTCAGTCAATATTAGCCGTTAGCTTGGAGAAACAGAGGCCATTGCCAATGGCATGAGAGCATGGCCCTGTGAGGAGTGAACTGTTAGAATCAGGACAGAGTCAGTGTTTCATTCACTGACTGATACGTGTAGTTTATTTGCAGTGAACAAACTACAAGTCACATTAGCTCAGGTGTCATCAACAGTCCCACATGACACAATCCTCTGTGTTGTTCAGGTTCACGTCACGAGTGACTCACAGAACGCAGAAGAAGGGCCACTCCCGACCGGCACGCCCACGCTGCGCTCAGCTGAACTGAGAAAGGAACGAATCAGTTAATAAAGCGATTCGGTTCAGTTCATTCAAAAGATTTGTTCATTTGAACGAATCGTTCGTGAACGACACAAGACAAGAGCTGACAGCTAATGGTTAAGATCTTGAAGTTTTGTTAAAGCACATAGTGTGGAAATCAGACCATGAGTCATGATTTATTTTAGTTCTTTCAGCTTCCACTCATTCATTTTTAGATAACTTGGGCTAACATTTGGTGCGGTAGTAGCCGAGAGTTATCCTCAACACATACTGAAGGCTAATAAAAACTCAATACGACTGCCACAGCTATCAAACGTTGTCCAGACGTACGTGGACATTTTTTTGTTCAAGCTCTAACTGCAACTGCGTAGAAATGTCCAACTTCACAACTGGACATCTCATAGGGAATGAACTTAAGGGTTATGGGGTCAAAGGTCAAAGTGAAAGGTCACCCCTTACTTTAAATCCACTAGCTTTAATTTGATAACTGTTAAACAAATTAATGTTCAATGATACAGCTGGATGCCGTGCGGGTCAACAAAGATCCTTATTGATTTTTAAGGTCAAGGGGTCAAAGGTCATTCCTTTAATTAGCTCTCAATTGGAAATCTTCACATAAAAATCTCAAATGTGACAACTGGACACCTCATGGGTCAGCAATGCTCTTTATTGATTTTATGGTTAAATTTAGCCACGTTAAACTGAATTTACAACTGTTTTGCTACTTCTCGCGCTAAGCTAGCTTTTTTCTTTCTTTCTTTCTTTCTGGCATTTCTCCTCTTCTGGCTCTTAGCTAGCTTTCTCCCCATTCTTTTGTGTTTTGCGAGTTCTAGCTCTCAGCATTTACCTGCTTTTTGCTAGCATTTCTCTAGTTCTGGCTGTTAGCTAGCATTTTCTTGCAATTTGCTAGAGTTTTACTCAGGGCTTAATTTGTAAACCAATCAATGCTGGAACAAAAATGGTAGGTGGTGGGCGGTGGGGGTGGTTTTGGTTGGTATCTGGAGGTCCTCTTCCAGAAATTTTTGAATAAAATAGATGCGATTTCCTTCATTTTGGTGTAACAGGTTGTTTGTCAAGCATCCGACCCCCCCCCCCCCCCATTATTTGACAGTTCAGAGTCCAACTCTTCTTCACTGAATTCACTGTTCGACTCCACGTGTGAAACCTCCAGGCACCTCCTCCGTCTGTTCGTGGCAGCTGCCTGGCCTGTGGGCTCCTGCCCGTGGACGACTGCCTGGTTAGCTCGGCTCTCACCCCCACCACTCTTTTAGGGGCGGAGATTTTGTAAAGGGTAGACGTGGAAATGCTTACTTGAAGAGGCAGCTCGTATGTGATATTAAGAAGCTCGTAAGTAGCTGGTGTGTTTAAAATGAGTGTTTATGTAATTATTTTCAGGTTACATAACCAATATAAGTTTTATTCGTTCAAGGCAGTCATATTTGTTTATAACTTTCTTATTAGTATATTGTACTTTTCTGCACATTTTAGCCTTTTAGACTAATTTAAACTTTTTTCTGTATTAAATTGTTTATTGTGTGTGTGTGTTTTTTGCCTTTTGTGCTTCTTGCAGCTTCATCTTTAACATTTTTAGCTAGCAAAATCATTTATTAGCATTTACACTGCATTTTTGAAGCAAACACAATTTCTCTAGTTGATTTCAATGTCTTGTTAAATGCTGTCTGGTTGATTTTTGATTTATATTTTGTGGCGTTCTAGGCCCTTTGAGCACTTCATTAATAGAGTATTAGGGTACATCAAACCAAAGCAGTTACCTACTTATTTTATTTTAAACAGAAGTGAAATATTTATAAGAAATTGCCTTAACTATTTTTAATATAATGCAAAAAAAAAAAAAAAATGAACATGTCATTAACCTATATCGCTTACTTTGTCATGTTTATAGAAATCCAAAACTTTTCCCAACGATTACTTGATGTTGTGCCCATTGAAGGGTATCGTTATCTAAAATAGCTGTGGTGGCCCTATTTATGGCGGTGGTGTACATTTTAAAGTCATTTTAAGCTCTGAACACATTGTACATTACATAAAGTTAGAGGGAACAGAAAGAATTCTCAGTCGTAGGAAAAGTTTCAAACTGAATTTTAACTAAGCCACGCGTCTATTCTCAGACACAGGAAGTAGGAGGGCCTGCTCACATCTGCACTTTGGAATGGTGTCAATACGTTATCATCAGATGTTGTTGTCTTTTGTATAAAAAACGTGTGTTTTTTTTCCAGACAATGTTGTTTTTTAAGCAGAAGACTGAGCAAGAAAGGCAGCTGAGTGGAGTCTGTAGGTAAAAAGAGAGTTTTTTTGTATTTTCAACATAAAAACAGACCGATTTTACTTCACCAATGCCATCACTGATTTAAGTCGAGTAATAAAATGTGGGTCTTTGGGGGCACAACATTTTCCAGACCCCTAGAATGAAATAAAACAACCAAAGCATAGTTTGCTGAAATTCAGCAGCAGGGTTCATTGAATGAAACTGTTATCTTGGGCTCACATTACTGTTCTGTCATGAAGATCAATACATTGTAATCAGTAGTTATCTGAAGTCCCTCCGTTTGTTTCATCAGAGCAGCTTGTTTCAGAGAAAACTGGACTCATGACTGTTGAATTAATTTAGTAAACGACTTGATCTGCGAGAATCTCCTTCGGTTTGTGTCTGAAGCGACTCAACAAACACAATCAGTTACTCCTCGGAGGCCTCTAACGTTAACTGCAGCCCTCCCCCCTCATCCTTGGCCTGTGGGTTTTTTTTTTTAACCGGAGTGGTGAGTCACTCCTCTCTCGGTTTAGAAAAACAAATCCGGCCAGGCTGGAGGCCCGGTGGGGGGATGGGAGGCCCGCGGTGGATGAACACCGGAGGTGGACGCAGCTGGACTCCCGCTCTCAGGGACCCCGCATCCTGACAACAGCCCGGCCTGTTCCCATAGTGACCGGGGGGGCTCATCTGCAGGGGAGAGGGGGGTTGAATATGTGGATATCCACATTTTAAAGTCTATTAAACGTGGCTACCTGCCACATGATAAACACAAAAGAGCCAACACTTTATTCAGGCTAACTGTTGTGTGAAGACTTGGTCTGAACACCAAACACAACCAGTTCCAGAAACACAAAAACACAATTTGAACACAACAATCAAACAGTTCGACTAAACTGTCCACATTACATGTACATATACTCATTTTTAATTGGGGTCTTTTTAGAACGCTCTATAGTATTAGCCTATATTCATTTCCCAGAAACTCAATGCCAGTTAACCTAAGTTAACCTCAGTTAACCTCCTCAGATTAATAATGTAATTAACTTGATTTTCATGCATATGAATATTTCTGTACAGTGCCCTGAGATGACTTCTGTTGTGACTTGTGCATAAATAAATAAATAAAAGTAAATACCAGTAAACTGAATTGAATTGATATGAATTCGTAGTTGCCAGAAGAAGAAAAAAAAGTGAAAAATTGTACAGTTGCACTTCTAAATGATCGTGCGAGTGTCATTTTGACACAAACTATGCTGGACTATTGTCAACCAACGTGGGTGTGCGTGTGTGTGTGTGTGTGGGGGGGGATGTTGTGCTTTGATTGGCAAATGGGCAAAAGGACAATATAGTGCAGACACTCTGTCACAGTCTGGCTGGTTTCATCAGGTTTTTTGATCTTATGTAGGTGTTCCCGTGATTATGGTGTTTTTTAGGTGCACAGAAACGCCAAAACTATTGTATATTTGGGATTGAAAAAAAACAAACGTTATTGTATATGCTCTGTAAACGTATCTTATAATACAGTTGTCGTATATCTGGCAACACCGATCTCCTTTTCCTCTTTCCCGCCAAAAAGCCTAGAGAGGCTTCCTTTCAATATCACTATGGCAACTGATGCCCCAGGCAACAGGGGATGCTCTGGGGCTTTAACTGCATCAGCTGAATGACGTGCAGAGTGGTAGAAAGCCAACAACGAATTATAAGACATTTAAGAACATAAAAGTAATTTTTTTTTTTTTTTTTTTTTTAAGTAACCAATTGACAACAACTGAACTAAGAAAGCGTCCACGTTTATGCAAACCTAGTCGGTTTACTTACTTTGCAGTTTATATTTGAACCATTAGATGGCGGTATTGTAGCTATAATAAAATTTTTTTTTAAAAACGGGAACCAGTAAATAAATGTTAAACATGTGGAATATGCATGTCTGGAAACAAATGAGGGACTTGTGGTTGCTCGCTTTTTTGACACTTAATGTCTCAACTACAAGTTTCAGCCAGAGTTTTCAGCTGACTTTGTTTTTGTTAAAAAAAAAAAGTCAATAAAGTTGGATTTTAAACCGTTTCCAAAACAAAGATGGCGGCTGATCAGGCAGTTCTAAGAGTTCCTCCTCCACTCTCTGCTAAAGTGGTAGGGTATGTTGACAACTGATTTAACCAGTCCGTCTTAGTATTTTGTAAAGAGGAAAACTGTAGTTTATTATCAGAACAGCCAAATAATGTATTTACTTATTTATCTATAGCGTTAGCTCATAGAAGCTAACTCACGTGACATGTCTGTGGCAAACTAATCGCCTTAATATCGTGTTTATTTGAATAAACCTTAACAAATACCAGGTACTAATAAGAAATTGTGTAATTTAGAAACGTACAAATGGAATCCTTATATGTTAGTGTCTTGTTTTTATTTTTGTTAGTTGGATACTGTCGCTAGTCACAATGAGGTTATCTTTTTTTTTTCTCTACAGGTCATTTGCCTACTTGACTGTAAAAGACAGATTGCCTACAATTTTAACCAAAGTTATAGACACATTACACCGTAACAAAAACAAGTTTTTTGAAGAATATGGAGAGGTAAGAACTGATTTCTAATTTAAACTGTATTATCTTGGTATATGCGTATCAAATGCATCAGTAATTTCAGTATGCTTCATTTAAGATTTGACGTTGTTCATGCGTGTGTGTCTTTGCCAGGAGGGAATCAATGCAGAGAAGCAAGCAATATCTCTGCTGTCTAAGCTGAGAAATGAGCTGCAAACCGACAAGCCTCTGCTGTTAATAACAGATGGCTTACAAGACACAGAATCCTGGAACCAGTACATGCAGAGACAGCAGAGGCTGTTGGGGGACCAGGACACTGTTATTAGTTGGTTCAAGTCTGCATGGCTCTACGTAGAGTGCTACATGTATCGCAAGATACAAGAGGCCCTTATACTCAAGTGAGAATTATTCATTTTATAGCATCACAACGATTGCACTTATTTAAAAAAAATAATAAGGAATTGGAAAAAAAAAGTTTAAAATATAAATGAATTAATTCCAGGATTGTGAAAAACATTTTCAATTTTAAATTTTCATCCCGGCTTATTTGTATTATTTAGTAAGCTGCGTTTGTCTCAAGTAACTTCATCCATCCATCATCTTTACCCGCTTATTCCATTTTGGGTTACGGGGGTCGCTGGTGCCCATGTCCAGCAATCACTGTGCGAGGGGCGGGGTACACCCTGGACAGGTCGCAAGTCCATCACAGGGCCACATAGAGACAAACGAGACAAACAACCATTCACTCTCTCACTCACACCTAGGGACAATTTAGAGTTACCAATCAGCCTAACATACATGTTTTTTTGGTCTGTGGGAGGAAACCGGAGCACCCGGAGGAAACCCACACATGCACAGAGAGAACATTCAAACTCCACCCAGAAGGCCCCTGGACCGGGGTTTGAACTAAGGACCTGCTCGCTGAGAGGCAGCAGCTCTACCAGTTGTGCCACCGTGCTGCTCTCAAGCAACTTGAGAGGCTATATTCAGCATACAACCCCACACTTAAACAGAAACATTACAAAACGTTCCACTTGTAATAACTGACACTCAAGTAAGCATACTTGGCTTTTCACTGGTGATCTTTAATTATCCCAATTTGGTGGACATTATTATGGATTAGGCTGAGAAATGTTGTATATAGACACGCTGCATCTTTGTACATCACGGTTCTAAATGCAAACAGATTGTCAAAATAATTTGAAAAAAATGAGTGCAAGCTTCCACAAAGACAGGATAAATACAGGAAAATTAATGATCAGCTTAAATTCATTGGAGATGCAATTTCAGCAGTAGTGAAGTTCTGCAGAATTTGAACTGTCTGTAGCTAATGTAGCATCGCAAACTTCGTTCAAGTAGCACAGTCAAGATATAAAAAAAACAAGTTCTTCAGCTTGGTTGCACGGAGAAGTCATAGCATCAGAAACCACTTTTAGCACTAAGAAGGAAGTTATGCAGTATCATCCTTTGTAAACAAAATGAAACGAAAACAATCTCTTGCTCTTCAACTGTCACCTACAAGATAAAAAAGCTTGGAATAAAAAAATAAAAGAAAACCTTATGAGTCTTGAAAACAACTTCTCAGTGAGAGCAAGATAAGGTTGGTCCAGATATTACCAATTAGAAATGTTTGCAGTAGCCGACCTTAGCACAGGTAAAGTTTAATAAGACTAGGGAGAGAACAAAGGTAAATGCAAATTAACTGTAGAAAGGTCGCATTTGTAATAAAGTTTCTTACAAGTTTTATGCGGATGAAGATAGTTTCGTAGTTAAGTAGCAGAAATATTGGTGGATTGGTTTAGGAGGTTCTCTTGTGTGCTGTTAAATGTTCAACAAAATGAATCTTGGATTTAGTACTTTCTTACATTTTGCTCTTTTTTTTTGTCTAATAATTTTGTTTTTGTTTTTATTTCAGTCCGCCCATCAGCAACTTTGATGTTTATAAAGAAGGAAAGACTCAAAGCTTTTTTGAGTCTCAGCAGGCTGTAATGGCCTTATGTACTTATTTGGCAGACATCCATAAAAACATGGAGAAGCTGTCTAAGAATCAGCTGTTTGAGTTTTTCAACAAACTTCTCCAGGTCTGTATATTTTATGTTTTTTGAGACTATAGAACTAATAAAAGCTGGGTATTGAGATTCAAATGAAATATATATATAATAAAGATATATAATATTTATTGCTGTATTTTACATTATTAATTAATTATATCAACTTGCATTTGGTTGCTTTTCTCCAATCCGTTTTGCTCAAACACTATAATGCAACATTTCTAAAGCCTATACTTGTAATAAATTAGTTTTTATGTTTACTTTGTCTCTTTCTAGGTTTCTCTTTGGGGGAACAAGTGTGATCTTTCTATCTCTGCTGGTCAAGAAAACTCTCAGAAGACGAGTCCAATAGATTCCCTAAACAGCCTCCAACCTTTTATTTTGGTGGATGACTCCAACATGGTCTGGTCGACTCTTACTTCGTCTCAGAGGCTGGAAGTGTCTGGGAAAAACGTTGTAGAGAGAGTGGACATTGTTCTGGACAATGCTGGCTTTGAACTGGTCACTGACTTGGTCTTAGCAGACTTCTTGGTTTCTTCTGGCCTTGCACGCCAGATTCATTTTCATGGCAAGTGCTTCCCGTGGTTTGTCTCAGATGTCACAGCTAGTGACTTTCAGTGGACCAGCCGGCAGATGATGGCAGCCAATCACATGTGGATGTCTAAGAGTGGCGTCCGGTGGCAGAGGTATCTGAAAGAGGGTGTTTGGTGCTATCATGATCATCCCTTTTGGACGCAGCCTCACGAGTTCTGCGACATGGCAGCCGATGCTCCTGACCTGTATGCAACCCTGCGAGAGGCCGACCTGGTGCTTTTCAAAGGTGACCTCAACTACAGGAAGCTGACTGGAGACAGAGACTGGAGTCACACTGTGGATTTCAGTACAGCTCTCCGAGGTTTTGGGCCTGCGCCGCTGTGTAGCCTGAGAACCCTCAAGGCTAACGTCCAGGTCGGTCTGCAGCCAGGCCAAGGGGAAAAGCTCACCTCCCAAGATCCAAACTGGATGACTAGCGGGAAGTACGCCGTTATTCAGTTCTACAGTCCACAGCCAGAATAAAAGTGACCTCAGGGAAACACTGGGGGAAGTTGATTTCAGTGAGAAGTGCCAAATGTAGGTGGTGCCATTGAAGGGTTGTTAAATAGTTCATCTTTTACTGTCTTTAAGCACTTCATCCAATATGACAAATGCACCGCAACTTTACATGTTTGATTTGAACTTCAGTTTACGGTTGTGCATTTATCTTCAAAGTTAACATTTGTTCTTTGGTTTTTATTGCATATATCTGACATGTTGATGTCATGTTTACAGATCTAAGTATCGATAACGATGACGGGGGTAAAATTAAAGAAGAGTTGTGCTCTGTAAACACTGAGCAGCAACACTTAAGTGTGTTCATAGTTGTAATTTAAATATTAACATTTGCAGTCGGTGTCATTGATGAGCATGAACTAGTTCAACTGAACTAACCATAACGATGGTTCCTCTGTGTAAGAGATGGCATGTTGCTGTGCGGGGTAGTTTAACAGAAATGCTGATGTGCACTTTCTTTTGTTAGAAATACAACGCAGGTATGATAAAACTGGAGGGTTTTGTGTATGTCATCCATATTAGCACTGTCACTTTCCAAACTGCAGTAATTCTAATGGGCTCCCGGGTTTCTGGAGCAAAGTGTGTTGTTTTCAAAACAAAATAAATGGCAGCAATGATTTTGATCTTTCTGTTATTGTCATGCTTTTCAGAAAAATGTGGAAGTTGTTGATAATAATGACTGCCATTTTGAGTTTTTGTTTCAAGCCTAAAATACAGGCTGTTTGTTTTGCCTGTGAGTTGGTTACAACGGCAACAACATAAAAATTGTACTGCAGCCAAATATATAAAATAGACCAAACGCGTCATTGTCCACACAAATCTTCCATCAGGAAGCTGAAATCTTTACTAAAAGTGCAATCTTTATTAGTCACCTCGTTTTGTCTCTACGGTGTATATTACAGTTTTAGATGGGGGGTGGGGGGGGCTGCTTTTTCAATGTGGGCTATCATGAAAATTGGGTCAATTACAGCAAGAAGCTTCTGATGTGCCATTTAGGTGATTTACTGTAGCTGCTTCATTCTCCCCTTTTATTTCTCTCTCATCTAATGTCTTAATTTTACACCAGAGGAAAATGCAAAAACAATTGGTGTCATCAGAGCTACTTGTTTTCCTCTTGACCTGACATGTCTCGGAAAATTATGCCGCTAAGCCAAGAAAAGGCATTGCACACACGAAAAAGAAAAATCATGCTTTGTGCCACGCTCTTTTTTTTTTTTTTTGTGCCACGTGTAATTTATAAGAATGGATATTTTGCGTGTATACGTCTTGGAAAGCTTGTATGCAGATCTTCACATGACTCGAACGATCCCTCAAGTGCTTGTGGAGTAAACAGTTATTTTACAGGGTTTGTAAATAAGTCTATTTTAAGGTTTTCCTAGAATAATCTTGTTTTTTTTAATTTTTTTACTGTTACCTTGACACATGGCCCCCAACACCCAATGGCCCGTGATGATCCCAAACCTGAAACATACTGTACACCTAAATCTAATCCCTTCACGTTTAGATTTTTGCATTAAAAATCAATCCATTTGATTTAATTATATGCTTTTGGACAATATCACCTCTTGACATAATCAGACAAATGACTTCATTTTTTACAGTTTTATTATCATATTCATAAAATAAGTGTAGCTTGTGCAGCATCTACATTATAAAAAAAAAAAAACACCCTTATTTGGAATTGATTGCATAAAAACTCAGGATGAGATTTGACCTCCAGTTTTGTTTGCTGTGTTATGGTGACCTGGCTCTTGAACGCACCATGGTTATTGATTTGGCCGCATCTTTAATGTGTTTATCCTTTTTTAAACCTTTCCTCTGTCCCCGCCGAGTAGCTCGAGCCCAGCCAGATGCCTGCGAGGCGAGCAGAGAGGAGGAGACGGGGAATCAGCTGCTGCTGCACAGCGCATCCGAAGATGATCCACATGTGAGAGGTGAGTAGTGTCTCACGATGGATATTTTATTCTCTTATTAGCTCATCTGATGTGAAACGGTCGTCTACTTTGACCATGTTTTCGCAGTGATTAAGTGCAGGTGTATTCACTAATGGACTAGATGATCCGATGATGTGTGCTCAGCATCAGCTAAATGAAGGATGAATATTCAGAGACAGTCGCGCTGCTAGTTTAGTTGTAACCACTGAAAGCCACTGAATGTAACACAAAGGTGAAGTGGAAACGCCTGTGTGGAGGAGAGAGGGCAGGGAAGTTATTTAGGAATCACTATTTCTGTCATGCTTTCTTTTCCCCTCTCCCACCAGCTTTCCCTCACTCCCACACTTCAGTAAAAATCTATTAGAGAAGAAGGAAATACTACACTGAGGAAAATGGAAAAAAAACAAAACAAGTGGGTTGGGAGGAGTCTTTTTAGCCGTCTGTTTTTGTTCTTTTAGAGCCTGTTGAGCAGAACCTCAAGGCAGACGGAGCAAAAGGACTGCGGTGGTCCCTCCAAGTTGTTTGACAGGAGTTGCTGTTGTGGAGACGAGACCGCGGGAGAGAGAAAGGCAGGAGAGAGGGGTGAGCAGCACTCCACTTCACTCTCCCACCCAGCAAATGGGAGAGCACGTCTAAATCATGTTGCTTATCACTGCTTTTGTGCTGTGATGTTGCTAAGGCAGAGCCCGGCGCAGAGCAGGCAGCCGTTGGGACCAGTGCTCAGAACCAGGATTAGCCCAGCCTCCTCAGAGCTGGAGACCCTCTCCCCACCTCGCCTCTCACCCTCACCCCGGGCCCCCCTCAGTGACATGTACCCAGAAGAGAGCCGGGGTTCTGGTGGGGTAGCTGCTGTGGACTTCCTAGAGGGGACGTATGACTATGCCACCCCCACCCCTGCCCCTACACCTCTGTACAGTGACTCCACCACTGGGTACTTCTCTGCTCCTCTGGACGCTCACGGACCCTCGTCCGATGGCAGCCTTCAGTCTCTAGGAAGCGGACCAACTAGTCCACTTGTGTTCGTGCCCAGCAGTCCAAGGCTCAGCCCCTTCATGCATCCTCCTGGTCACCACTATCTGGAAACCGCCTCTGCACCCGTCTACAGGTATGACAGCTGACTTCTGTTTGCATCAGAAAAGATGAAGATTCATTAACAAGGGAGCATCTTCGCTTCATCGTGACCAGACACTTGTGTTCGTGCACACATTAAGGGATTGTTTCAAAACTCACATTAGTTTTTTTACATCTTTGGTTAGACTGTTCTATAAATGAAGACTTTAGGTGGATAATTTATTGTAGAGTGTCAGTGGTGACGCATATTGCTGCATAACTTGCTGTATTATTCCTAACTTGTACACTGTGTCATCGGCAGTTTAGGTGATCCTTCAAACTGCTTCAGGAACCAAACACAATTATTTACTCACATGGCCTTTTTAATCTTCTGCTTTATACAAAACACTGCCGCTATCTCTATTGAAGGATCAAGCTTTGTCCGGCTTTCTAATTCCAGAGATTAAGGACTTTGTCAAGGACCTTGAGAGGGGAACAATACGTTAAGAACAGAAGTACACATACAGATTGTTTCCTGACTCAGGTGGAAAACAGGAGGCTGCTTCTGCAGTCAAACTGTCATTTTTAAAGTCAATATGCTAAGGTTCAATAAGGCCGGGCTCTGGCTCGAAATACATGTGAAAAACGAGAAACTGACAAGTGTCCAGATGTTGTTTTTATGCTTATATGCTAATGAGAGGCTGTTATTTCTAGTATTTCATTAGCGTCACAGTTTATCTCGTTTTGAGGACAGAAAATCATCAAATTAAAATTCATGGCTCGTTGCAGATCCAGCCACCAGCCGGCCTCCAGAGAGGACCAGTGTGACGCCCGTGACGAGGCATGCAGTGTGGGGGAGTTAGGCGCTGCAGCCGGGGCCGGGGGGTTCGAGATGGCCAAAGAGACGCGTTACTGTGCCGTGTGCAGCGACTACGCCTCCGGGTACCACTACGGGGTGTGGTCCTGTGAGGGCTGTAAGGCCTTCTTCAAGAGGAGCATTCAGGGTAGGAGAAGCTGAAAAATGTGTCAAACTTAAATCACTTTAATTCAGTCTGTCGTGAAAAACGACCACTGGAAAGACGACAGCGGAGCACAATGCAGAACTTCATGAATAATCTTGTCATAGAGGACAACACACATCACAACAAATGCCTCCTCGTGTCAGCTGAAGGATGTTAACGATGTTTTATCAGACATCAGTAAAGGTTCCTGACAGAAACGACGAGGCTGAGTCAGTCTGCAGTTCGGCGGCTCATTATAGAGAAGTGAATTACCTGGAACCTTGAGCGAAACAGAAGAAGTTTGATCACTGTCATAAAGGCGCAGAATGTGACGCTCCCTCACATAAACGGAGCAGAATTCACAAGTTCAACTTTTACTTCTGTTCTTTTGCCATCGACCACTTTTTATTTCCAGCTTCAAAGCGTCCATGGATTTAAGGAGAGCTTTGTCTGCTCGGTGGATCGGTCGTCTTCGTGCTATGATGCCGGGGCGTATTGATGTAGCGAAGGGACTGGTCATAAGAAAACCAATAGTCTCCATGGCAATAACAAAGCCAAGATGCCATGTTTTAATGTTCCCCGTTTCAGATTCATTTAGAACAGGGGATAGAGTGTTCCTAGCTACTAAATAGCCTAAATCTGAACCGAATATTGGACTTGAAGAGTAAAGTAATAGATTTCCTTCCATTTCAGGTCACAATGACTATATGTGCCCAGCGACCAATCAGTGTACTATTGACAGGAATCGGAGGAAGAGCTGCCAGGCCTGCCGTCTTAGGAAGTGTTACGAAGTGGGTATGATGAAAGGAGGTGAGCAGCATCATTTTCTATTCTTATTTTACAATTTAGGTTTCAATGTTCATTATTTTACTGCCTTTTTTATAGGTTAGCTTTCAAAAGTAAAAACCAATTGTCATTGATCACGTCTGGGTTTTCCCAGACCGCAGATATTAATACAAATATGAGCGAGTCGGTGGATACAGATAAACGTGAACTTTAACCAGACCTTGAGGAGTTTTCCTTTTAAGGAGTATAACTGCTGATTACTGCATGCCAACTTTTTTTTGTTTTCATTCTTCTTGAATCATTTAGCCATTTAGTCAATCATCTGCAAATTAGATGTGCAAAGAAGAACGCTGATGCACAAGTCTGTCTCTGTGTGTATTTCTATTTATTGTTTTTATCAGTAGTCTGCTGTGTCCCTCACCCCAAAGGTGTGCGCAAAGACCGGGGTCGTGTTTTGCGGCGCGACAAAAGACGAGGTGGCATCGGAGACAGAGACAAGGCTGCTAAAGGCTTGGAACACAAAGCAGCAGCCAGTCATGACGGGAGGAAACGCAGCGGCATCGGTGGAGGAGGAAGAGCTTCACTGATGAGTCTTCCTCCTGAACAGGTGCTGATTCATCTTGAGTTAATGAGCACTTATCTATATTTTTAACAATCTGATATTTATCTGATAATGTTTTCTCTGTTATCTGCTTGTATCCATTGCGCCTCCAGGTGCTCCTCCTGCTCCAGGGTGCTGAGCCACCGATCCTGTGTTCCCGTCAGAAGCTGAGCCGACCCTATACCGAGGTCACCATGATGACCCTGCTCACCAGCATGGCTGACAAGGAGCTGGTCCACATGATCGCCTGGGCCAAGAAGCTGCCAGGTTCGAATGCAGAAACTATTCAGAGTTCTGTTTGCCACCCGAGAAACAAATTCAGTTCAATTCAGTTTATTTCTATAGCACCAAGTCACAACAGAAGTCGTCTCAGGGCACTGAACAAAACATTCACGCACATGAAAATTCAATTAGTAAAAGTTATTTATCTAGCTAGCAGATTGTGTTGAATCTTCACTTCGTCACAGTCTCCCATCCTGAGCAAGCACAAAGGTAACAGTGGAAAGGAAAGACTCCCTTTTAACAGGAAGAAACCTCCAGCAGAACCAGGCTAAGGACGAGCGGCCATCTACTTCAACCAGCTGGGTTTGAGAGGACAGGAAGGAGAAATGGACACAGAATGGAGGCGAGCAGGTCTTTCTATAGGAGGAACGACAAAAAAAACACACAAAAAAACACATTAAAATAGAAATAATAACAAATACAAACTATTTGTTTGAGGAAATTTGGTCAATTTATCCTCCAGCAGTCTAAGCCTATAGCAGCATAACTAAGAGATAGCTCAGGAAACCCAAGCCGACCCTAATTATAGGATTTATCCAAAAGGAAAGTGTTAAGCCTAGTCTTAAAAGTAGACAAGGTGTCAGTCTCATTTACAGAAACTGGAAGTTGGTTCCACAAGAGAGGAGCCTGATAACTGAAAGCTCTGCCTCCCATTCTGCTTTTGGAAACTAGGAACCATAAGTAAACCTGCAGTCTGAGAGCAAAGTGCTCTGTTAGGAAAGTATGGAACAATAAGATCTGTAATATCCCACCATGTTCCCTGAGGTCAGCGGACCAGTTGCTCCTCACAGTTCCAGGAACTCGTCTTAAGCGCAGAGGGGACATGGCCTTCTCTGTAGCAGGACCACCACAAAAGTTATATCAAAACGACTGGCTCGGCCCTGTGATGTGTGTTATTTCTTTTATTGGCATTTCAAGTTACCATGGCGGAGTAATTTGCGAACAAAGATGCAATATTTCACCAACTCCAGGAACTAGTTGGTGACTGCCCACTCATTATTCTACACCTGAAAAGCGTATCTTTTTCAACTTTAATGCGGCCCAAACCGCAAAGTGGACCCCCACAAAAGTTATATCCAAACGACCGGCCCGGTCCCGAGATGTGTGCTATTAATTTTGTTGGCAATTGGCTTAACCATGGCGACATATTTTACTAACGAAAATGACAAATTTCCCATAGGAAATGAATAGGAGAAAACTTTTCAAAAAAACTGAGTAACGTCGGGAGCCATTTTGGTTCAACATGCATGGAAGGCACCTATTATCACCTATTATTATTATTATTATTATTAATTAGTAAAAAAAACTTACATACATTATTAATGATTCATTTTAATAATAACATTAATAATTATTAATATTAATAATTTATATTTAATATTACTTATTAATATCAATATTATTATCAACTATATTAATAGTTTATATAATTAATAAATCAATGATATATTAATAATTATTTATTAATATGATTAATTATTAATAATATTTATTATTAAGAATACTTTAATAATAAATAGACAGTCCCCGTCAAAGTTTCTCCAGGAACTTTCTAATCTCTAATTGCTCACCGGGCGCTCAATAGCTGCCCACTGCTCCACCTGGGTGTATCCCAGGTGAGATGGGTTAAATGCAGTGAACCAATTTCCTCATTGTATGGGAACATACAAAGATGACAACATATAGCACTTAATTAAGATGGAGCTAGGTGGTTGAGGGCTTTGTATGTTAGAAGTAAGATTTTGAATTATATTCTGAATTTGACAGGGAGCCAAAGGATATAAACTAAAACTGGAGAAATATGATCTTTCCTAAAAGCTCTCATTAAAGCTCTAGCAGCAAACCACCATGTTCACTTTTCTCTGTGGCCTTTTGTCTTTTTTAATTTATTATCTTCCTCTACTTAAGGGAAATAAATTGAACGATTTGTAGGCCTTTACAATCATCTCATTTTAAAGATGTTTCAAAAGAAATGCAATCAGCTATATGTGGATAAAAAATGTTCCCAACGATAACACGCTAAGAAGATTTATTTTGTATATTCTGGAGCTTTGGAAATGTACACAAATCATAAACAATAAACAAGGGGAGTGGTGGCGCAGAGGTTAGAGAGGTGGGCTTGTGATTTGAAGATCGCCGGTTCACGCCCCGGCCCCGACAACATCAAAATTGTGGGTGGGGTAGGTGAAACACCCACACTTGCCCCCACCCTCATTCGCCCCACTCTGGGCCCATGAGCAAGGCCCTTAACCCCACCATGTGCTCCCTAAACAGGTCTCTCTTGAAAATGAGTTCTCGTGGCTCAATGAGACTAACCTGGATAAAAAAAGGCTAAATGAAAAAAAAAAAAAAAAAAAAAATGATGTTTATAATATTAAATTAGCTCAGCTTTAACACTTCAGCTGCCCAGCAGGGCTCTCATTTCCACTTTAGAAACTTTTCCCAACAACTAGGGTGTTTTTGAAGGCCCTTCCCTTTAACCCAGAAACCAAAATGTTTAATATGGTCCAGGATGGGAGCTAGCTTTTTGTTTTTTTAGAATTAACAGCAATATTTAGGATCGTCTCACAAAGTAAGAACATTTCTGATTTTCTTTTTTTTTTTTTTTAACACTCACGGTCCTAGATGGCAGCACGGTGGCGCAACTGGTAGAGCTGCTGCCTCTCAGCGAGCAGGTCCCTGGTTCAAACCCCGGTCCAGGGGCCTTTCTGGGTGGAGTTTGCATGTTCTCTCCGTGCATGCGTGAGTTTTCTCCGGGTACTCCGGTTTCCTCCCACAGTCCAAAAACATGCATGTTAGGCTGATTGGTAACTCTAAATTGTCCCTAGGTGTGAGTGAGAGAGTGAATGGTTGTTTGTCTCGTTTGTCTCTATGTGGCTCTGTGATGGACTTGCGACCCGTCCAGGGTGTACCCCGCCCCTCGCACAGTGATTGCTGGACATGGGCACCAGCGACCCCCGTGACCCAAAATGGAATAAGCGGGTAAAGAAAATGGATGGATGGATGGACGGTCCTAGATTTCCAGCTTAAGAAAACAAAGGACCTCTCTAATCCAGCGTGTATAAATGTGTGGAACTGCAGATTTCCAGTTCAGCAGTATTAGCGTCCTGGCCATCAACATTATGAAAGCTGTTAAGTTCTTTTTAGCAGGAGAGAGCTCAAGTGAAGACCACACGCTGAACAAATCAGTGAGGGCGTTATGAGCGATATCCTCTCCATCAGACTGCGTAAGAAACGTTTTAGACCAGAGGAACAACTCCATAACGGGACACATTCGCTGTGACCTGTCAACATCAGCGCAGAGAGGAAACTGTCAATTATTTTTGTGAGACTGATTTTAGTGCAACGAGCTCGATGTAGGATCTAACTTTGTTTGAAACTGTGCCGCTTTAAAACCTCAACCTCAAAATCAACAGTCCCAAATCCCTCGTACGGTTTGAACAAAGCAGAAGGATTTGAAAGTTAAATAAAATATTAAAATATATAAAAGAGATTGCCCCATTTAGTGAGGGGAGATGTTGCAAAAACGCTCTAAATGATCAGCGGTAATCATGTCAAGCTTGAAGGTATAAGAAAAAAAAGCCCTTTAGGGAGAGAGAACTTATTTGATAGATGTTAAAAAAAAAAGCAAAAGTAGAATCAATGTTTGAGTTTATCCATATTTTTTAACCTAACCTAACAGAGAAAATGTTATTCAATAAAGTTAAAGGAAAATCTGATCCCCTGCGAGCATAGCCCCAGCACAGTTTTTAGTCCAAAGTGAGGACAAAGTTGAACCCTGGTTTTAAAACGGGAAGCTATTTTCACATTCGTATTGTAACTGGAAGTAATGGAGTGAAGAGGTGAGTAGAATAAGGTTTTCGGTGCTACCAAATAAGCAGAATTTGCTTCATAATCACCTGTGCTTCTCCTCATGCTGGAGCCAATAATTCAGATTTCTCATGCTGGGAGCCTAATAATAGTACCAGAGGTTAGGTAGTGCAGATCCATCCAGAGCTTTGGACACTCAAGTATTTTCTGCCTTTTATTTCCACCTATTTATCTCAGGTAGGTTAGATTGAGTATCTGCAGCAGATTAGAAAATCTGTTTACTTCATGTTGTATCCCAGGAACACAACATTTAAACTCAGGGCAGCTTCATTTTGCTCGAGGGCCAGAGAGCAACAGGAACTGAGAAAAGCACAAACACCTCATTGAAGCAATTGTTTTCCTAGAAGATTTTGTTTTTCACGGTTCCTAAACTTCGCCATTGCAATTGTAAGTTCTTCTAATCGTTGATAATTTTCAGTGGAAGTCAAAAAGTATATTTGCAAACATTCAGCAGCAATCTTTAGTTTTATATACCAAAACGATGCCCTGTTATCTCCAAGTCTTAACTTAGAAAAACATTCTTAAACTCATATTAATAGACAGATGTGACAAAGACGACCACACTTTTTAGGCAACAGCAGGTAAACGTTGCGCCTGCAACTTTAATGTGGTGGTTATTACAGCTGTCACCTTTGAGTGGATTGTTTGGTCAATCTGCTGGAACCCCACAGAGCATTAGGTGTGACAGACTCAAACACACACCATACCATACATACCATATCATACCATACCATACCATATCATACCATGTCATACCATACTATACCATACCATGTCATACACCATACCATACCTTATCATACCATGTCATACCATACCGTACCATACCATAACATACCAAATCATACCATGTCCTACTATACCATACCATTACCATACCATATCATACCATACCATACCATATCATACCATGTCATACCATGTTATACACCATACCATATCATGCCATGTCATACCATATCATGCCATAACATACCATATCATACCATGTCATACCATATCATACCATAACATACCATATCATACCATGTCATACCATACCATATCATATCATACCATGTCATACTATACCATACTGTACCATACCATACCATACCATACCATGCTATACCATACTATACCATACCATG